TCTCTGATCTTTTCCTTTCCCTCTTTTGGGATAAATAACGAATGGTGGTGACTCTTCTATTTTTCGCCGGGTGTTTTTTGCAGTTGAGACAAAGGCGTGTTGGGAAGATTTGGCTACGAAATGGGAAAGAGATGCGAGCATCCCATTGAGGGACTGGATGGAATTTTTTGAGTTTGGTATGGGGAACTCGGAGGAGGCTCTGCACTTTTCGGGGTTGACTTCAATTCCTCGTTCGGTTAGATAGAAGCTGATGAACTTGTCTGATCGTACCTCGAACATGCACTTTTTTGGATTTCACGATCATGTCGTCCATATAAACTTCAAGCATGTCCCCAATTTCTCCTCGGAAGACTTTGTTCATCATCCTTTGGTAGGTAGCGCCGACATTCTTCAGGCCGAAGAGCATTACGTTGTAGTAATAGTTGTCCGATTCGGTCATGAAAACCGTGTACCTCTTGTCGCTTTTTGCCATGAGTATCTGGTTGTAGTCCGAATAGGCGTCCATGAAAGATAACGATTTAAATTTGGTAGAATTATTAACTAGTTTATCTATGTTGAGGAGAGGATATGCGTCTTTAGGGCAGGCCCTATTAAGATCGGTATAGTCAACACACATGCGTCATTTTCCATTATTCTTTTTAACGAGTACAACGTTGGACATCCAAGTGGTGTACTTGGCCTCCGATATAAATTTTTCCTCTAAAAGGTCTTTTACAACTTGCTCGACAGCCACCATTTTCTCTAGGGACTGCTGTCATCTATGTTGGGCAACTGCTCTGACGTCGGGGTCGATGGTGAGGTGGTGAAAGGCCACATCGGGGTCTAATCTGGGCATCTCTGCGACACTCCATGCAAATATGTATGCATTCTTCTGGAGGCATGCTCTCAGTTGTTTCCTTGCTAGCTCGGGGAGACTGACTCCAATCTTTACTCCTCACTTAGGGTCATCGCCGAGTGAGACAAACTCGAATTCTCCATCTGGGATGAGGCGCATTGGATGGTGACATTGCTGCTACTAGAGGGGATGCTTGAAGATGAATGGATCTCTTTCCCCTTTGCCCTCTGAGTCTTCTGGTCATCTTCAGAGAAGAGGCTGTCGAGGTCGATGGAATCGACGCGAGGAAGCGGATTCGCCTCGTCAAAGCTGTTGGGCAGAGGAGACTGGGCAGGAGTCTTTAGTCTTGCGGTGATTGCATTCAGTCCCTTGGACGCTGCTTCAAAGTATCTCCTTGCGGATTTTATGTCCCCGTGCATAGTTGCGGCGAGGCCTTTGGAGGTGTAATATTTCATCTTCAGGTGTACCGTTGAAGGTACGACCACCAGCTCGGCCAGAGTTTGTCGCCCGAAGATGCACTGGTATAGTGAGAGACAGTCTAAAACCATGAATTGTACCTTGATTGATCTGGCTGTTTCAGCAGATCTGAAGGTTACAATTAGCTCAACATAACCCCATGGGTTTGTCACCGATCCATTAAAACCCTGTAGGTCAGATCCCACATAAGGAGTCAAATGTGATTCATCCAGCTGGAGCATGGAGAATAGCTGAGAGTACATAATGTTAACAGAGCTACCTTGGTCGATGAGGATTCGTCGAACATCAAAATTCTCCATCTGAGCCCTTACGAGTAGAGGGATGCTTGCATTGGAGGCTTCACTGAGGAGCTCCTTGCGGTAGAAGCAGATGAGGACAGACTCTCCCCAGACCCTGTCGAGGGTGGAGTTCCGGTTTGAGCTATTGCTGATGAGGTGCTTAAATTTCCTCTTGACGGATCCTACCGTCACTCTGTTAAAACTTCCTCTAGAAATGACCATGGCGGAGGGGAATGTCTCCTACGGGCTGTGTGCGGAAAAATATGGAGGGGCGTTGAGCCCCTCGGGAATGCAGAAATCTTCAGGCCGCGAGACGCTCATGGCGACCTAGAGGCTGGCTTCCTCGGAGGAAGGAACTTCTTCTTCGACCTTCTGGGCTTCTTGGGCGTCTGGTCGAGGAGCCTCCTTTCGCTTGGCGAACTGATTCAGATGCCCATCCCTGATGAGTATTTCGATGACATCCTTCAGATGGATGCAATCTTTCGTCGTATGGCCATGGCTCTTGTGGAACCGACAGTATTTGGACTTATCAGTGTTTGGTTTGGACGATATCTGCTTTGGGAACCAGACTCATGCCTATCGAAATTCTGAGTTGGCACACTTAATGAGGATCTTCTCCCTCGAAACTACCAGGGGAGTGTATTCGTGGAACCTTCCGGAGGGTCCCTTGTTGTTCCGGGGCTCGCGGGGACGATCTTCTCGTTTTTTATCTCCTCGATGGGATGTCGAGGTCTCGTCGGATCTGGAAGGACGGGCGTTTTCCCTGTGCTTGGAATCACGGGCAGAGCTGACAACCTCTTTTTCCTCATACTTAATGTACGCTTGGGCCTTGAGGAGGAAAGCATCCAGCATTATCGGGGGCCGAATGCCAACATCTTTAGTGAATTCTGTGTGGGGACGGAGCCCGTGTTCGAGCAGAAACTTTTTCATGTCATCGGTGGTTGAGACTTGGACGACCTCCTTGTTGAATCTTTCAATGTAGGCTCACAGGGGTTCATCTCTCCCTTGAATGATGGCCTCGAGGAAGACTTCAGTCTTCAGATGTCGCCGAAAGACCGTGAAATGTCTGAAGAAGAGTCTCCCCAGTTGGCTCCATGAGGTGATGGAGTCGTCAAGAAGCCCTTTGTACTAGGTCATTGCCTCCTTCCTGAGTGTGGTCAGGAATAACCTGCACTTGATGGTGCCCCAGACGCCGTGATATTCGAGCAGCGCATCGATCTTTTCGATGTGCTCGTCAGGGTCAGTTGTTCCATCGTATGTGCCTAGAGAATGAGGTTTCTTTAGTCCCTTTGGGAGGCGCATGGCCATGATCTCCTGGGACAACGGGCCGCGAGGCTCGTCGTCGTTGCTGCTGCTGGTCCAAGAAAGGGAGTGGGCGTAACGTCTATAGGTAGGACGACAGTCTCGTGGGGAGACGGGGTTCGTGCTCGGCCCTTGGATCTGGGCGGAGACGAACATTGGGATTCTGTCTGGTGGTCTCTTATGGTCCTCTTGGGTTGTGGGGCAATACTGGTTCTGGGGAGAAATCTGGTCGTGTTTGCGGATGGTCAGGGTCTTTGGCTCTGGAGGCGTCTATCGGTTCCTCTCGCGTCGGGGAGGGGGACTCCGTCGTTGCTGACGTTCTTTCCTCGGTGGAGGGGATCTTGGACGACGAGACTCTTCCAATACTCCAATCCTTGCGTTCTGGTTGAGGATTAAGAGGTTGGTTTTGTTGAGAACCTCGAAAAGGGCCGCCATGGGCGGGTCAACGTTGGGCGGAACTGGAACTGGCAGGTGTTGCGGGACAAGTGGGGATTCGTCGTGATTTGCACGAACAGGGGATGGAGAAGCCGTGGCTCCGTCTCTTTGTCGGAGGACGTCGTCAACATGAGAGGTGGTGGCTCTATCAGCATCAGTCTTGCTGACGGGGAGAAAAACAGAGTTACGAGCATCAAGATTGTTGTCACGGGCAACCATGATAAGAAATTTGAAGAATTGTTTTGACCTTGTGTTCTACGAAGAGAGAAAAGACGGGGATAATAAGCTTCCCACAGACGGCGCCATTGATCTTATCAAATGATCAGAACCTCAAAGACAAGTGTATGTGATGCTGGGTGTGAAAGAGGAGGATGGGGTGTATCTGCAAGGCACTCCGATGCTAAAATAAGAAAACGAGCAAGAGAGTGAACAAGTACATAATATGTGTGCTTCAAGATGAATATTTGATACCTGACCTTCTCAAAATGAGATGGTTTCTATAATGCCTCCAGCGCTTGACCATTGGTCCCTATTTTCGGGGCGAGATAACCGTTTCTCGAAAAATAGGTAATTGATAGAACTAGCCATTGGGATGGGGAGACATGCCCATAACTAGCCATTGGCGTGGGCAGAGGCATAGTTACGGGCACAATTGTCTTGCCTGTTTCTGGATGGTGGAATTATGCGTGACGGGCAGAGACTGACGGGGAGAAGTGTTGTGACCAATGGTAAATAAGTCAGCCTCCTCTGTTAGAGGGGCAGAAAGGTAAACTTTCTACCAAAGAGGTTAGACTTAGGTAATTGGGCCGTTCTGGAAGTAGAAGTGGATTGGGTCGTGCCTAACCATTGGCCCAGTTCAGAACAGTTTTTTTTGACAATGAGAATGAAACTATAAAACTAGGAGAGAAACTTAAGAGTTTCAAGATTGTATGTTTCTAAAAATGAAAACGAAAATCACTATGCCACGTCACTATAATAATAATTAAATTTTTTTAATGTCAGATCACTATCTCACTATGTCACATAGACGATTGTTAATGTTTTTTCAATAAAATAATTTTTTTATTAAATTAATAAAGTTGTCTTAAAGAACTATATTATAATGTTTTTTAATTGTGGAACTAAATAAAAACACTTCATTAATTTAAAAGATTAAATAATGAATTAAGCCTAAAACAAAATATGAAATCAAAAAAGTGCATATAAGTATAAAATAATTTATCTTAAAAATGATTGATGATTGTGAGTTGAGTTAAACGAGTGCGTGATGTTGATGAAATGCTAAATTCTTGATAACCATTTTCTTTCTCATAATTTATTATTACAAATCAGTAGTTGTAATCAACAATTTTTTAGAAAATTGATAAAAGTAAAATATATTTAACAACATTATGATTGTAATGTAAATTTTTGATCATGTGTATTTGACAAAATGTTGGTACTTAGTAATTTTTCAATTTATGAATGAGTAAACTTAAGTTAGCAAACTTTATTACTGTTTAATCATTGTTATATCATTTCAGTTCAACTCGGTTCCGTTTTACTTTAGCTTAATGTTTTGGAGAGAAAGAAACTAACAACAAACACCATTTTAAGAAAAATCAACACTCAATTTCCCTCGAAGTTCAATACTGTTCTGAAGCTGTGTACTGTGAAGTGATTTTCCTTGTTCCATGGCTCTTCACGGTGCTTCTTTCTGCTTCACAAGTGTCGCTTCTAATCCTCTAGGTTCAGTCAAGTACAGTCATCCTATTGTTAAAGCTTCCGTGCTTCCTTCCCCTCTTTGCCCTCCAAATGTTCGATTGAATGCTAAAGGTAAATCAATTATGGATTTTTGATATCAATTTTCCTTTTTTGTTGTTCTGAGTGTTTATTTTGATTGGAAGCATAAAAATTTGGAGAAATCAGGTTGTATTATTGTAGTTGTTGCATGTATCACTCGCATGTTTATTATTTTCTGAAACTGTAAACCATTGGGTGAGTTGAATTGGTATTCTGGCATATTGAAATTCAAAGCTTAAGCATGTTGATAATTATTTGGCATGATAAAATGTTAGGATTAGGACTAGTATAAGCCTTCAGGGAGAGCCCAACCTAACAAGCTAATCTATTTAGTAACATAACCACTTGAATTACAAACCTCGCTTTATAGGTAAGACTCTCAATGTGGGATCCCGACAATGCACCCCTTTCGAGAAGTGACAAGCTCAAGCACTTCATAAGTGTTTGAGCTTGTCGGTTCTTGAAAGGGGTGCATATGATGTGAAATTGAACTTTTGATTTAAAGGATTCTATGGCTTGTTTATTTAGTTTCACTTCTGGAGATATCAAATTGTGAACCTCTTTTTTCTTTTATTTCTCAACTGTTGTTTGTTGTAGGAAAGGCAAAGGTAATACCTGATGATGGGAGATCTGAAACAAAGGAATTGCCTCTAGTTGTTTGTTTCGGGGAAATGCTTATTGATTTCGTCCCAACTGTTAGTGGTCTTTCTTTGGCCGATGCACCTGCGTTTAAAAAGGCTCCAGGGGGAGCTCCTGCTAATGTTGCTGTTGGCATAGCTCGGTTAGGAGGTTCATCTGCTTTTATTGGAAAGGTATTGTATAGATACTTTTCAGAGCTTTATATGTGCAATTTAGATATACAATCAATATTGACTTTGCTTAACAGGAAATTGTCCCCTTATCGCATATTCCAGTAAACAGATTTCCCTAAGGAAGGGGCTTGCATTGTTAATGCCATGATATTTGTTTTCAAAACTAGTTTTTGTGAAAAAGAATACAAGACATTCAATGTTAACCACATTTGGGTTTGTCCATGAGAGATATATGGGATGTTAGATTAGTCATTGAAAGGTTTGTCGTCAATTCATCATTTTAGTCCCTCAATAATGAAAAGTGTCACCATGTCAGCCTCTCCTAGAAATAGACACGACTAATGGATTTCAACATGACTCGTTAAGTCCCTTAAGAGCGAATTTTGAACTCTCAACACCACCCAAGCGTCTGCATGGAAGCACTACATAGGTAGCCACTTGGTGCTCGTACTAGCAAAATGTTTAATGTATCATCTAATGACACAATTTAAGGGATTAATTAGTTGACATGTTAATCTAGTTGGGAAAATTGCGTATTCCAGCGATTAAAGATGAGGACACACAGAAACATGTCTGAAAGAAAGTAATGGAACACAAAAAATTGTGGTTTGACACTTCTTGCTTATATCTATGAAAATGTTCCATCAAAATGTTCACTATCTCAAACAAGATTAATAGGTTTTGTAGAAACCTGAAAATCAACCGAAAGTTATCTATCAACCCAAGATTAATAGGTTTTGGCTCATTTAAGGCTCCCAAAATTGTATCTTAAATTGTTATGTATTTGGTTTTTTATACTACTATACAAGAATTACCTGATATTTTGTGTTATTTAATCATAAATAAGTATTTGGTTTGGGTGCAACCAATCTTTGATTGTGCCCCTAACTAAGTAGTTTTTGTTGTTTGGCTTATAAGGGGAGGATTGTCCTCACTTAGAAACACAACACAAACATATCTTTAAGTAATGTGGGACTTACACAATGAAGGTTTTGGAGGCTGCAATGATGGCAACCAAATGCTGCGATTAAGGCGCCTAGTGGCAGACCGCAATTATGGCGGAAATTACACACCCCCATGCTTGGGCCTCAATGAGCCCAAAGCGTGGACGATGCCGGAAGCCCAACAAAGGATCTAGGATAGGCTCTAATACTATCTCAGAATATGTGGGTTGTGCCTAACTCAACCCTTCAAAACTGACTTGTAAGGTGATGATTGACCCCACTTATAAACACAACACATGCCATATCCCTAAGCAATGTGAGACTAAATCCACCCCTTCAAACCCAATACAAGGAAGGTGTTGGGGGCTGCAATGAAGGCAAGCCAAATGCCACAATTAAGGTGACTAAGGGCACATCAGAATTAAGGCGGAAATTCCAACAATTACTTTATTTTATTTTTCATGAATCAGAAGTCTTAGTTAAAGTTCTCTTCCAAAATTATTTTCAACATAAACAGGTTGGTGAGGATGAATTTGGATATATGCTTGCTGATATACTCAAGGAAAATAACGTAAACAACCAAGGGATGCGTTTTGACCCTGGTGCACGTACTGCCTTAGCATTTGTTACATTGAGGAGTGACGGAGAGCGAGAGTTCATGTTTTATCGTAATCCCAGTGCTGATATGCTGCTCCAAGAAGATGAACTAGACTTGGACTTAATCAGAAAGGTGAAAATTAAAAGTTCAAAACATTGGCCAAACCTATGTTCTTCCAACGTTTTCGACTTTAACGCTACCTAATTCATAAATTGTTGTTGTAAAATTGTTCTGTTATTTATTTCTGGCAGGCCAAGATTTTTCATTATGGTTCAATCAGTCTTATAACAGAACCATGCAAATCGGCACATATAGCTGCAGCAAAGGCAGCAAAAGACGCCGGTGTATTTCTGTCCTATGACCCTAACCTGAGGCTTCCTTTATGGCCTTCTGCAGATAGTGCTAGAGAAGGAATTCTGAGTATATGGGAGACTGCAGATATCATCAAGGTTCTCTTATTCTTTAGTTTCCATTTTTTAGAATACAAATTACAGGGTTATGTCAATACCGTCCCTAACAAAACCAATCTGATAATTATATTTTCAGATAAGTGAAGAAGAGATTTCATTTCTTACAAATGGTGAAAATCCATATGATGATGCCGTTGTACAAAAACTTTTCCATCCAAACCTCAAGCTACTTCTTGTTACTGAAGGTTCAGAAGGTTGTAGATATTACACCAAGGTATACCTTCCAAAAGAACTACTCCTTCAGATCTCAATTAAGCAAAAGAAATGAATTTTGTTATTACTCAATTTGAATTGTTTGTCATATCTATATTTAAGAAATTAATTACTAACGACAAAAAAAATAATGTAGTGAAAAATTGTTAGTTTGAAATTCTAATAACAATTATGCTTCTAGTTATAGTGTATTATCGACTCTTAATAATGTGTGGTTGGGCCTAACTCAACCTTACAGAATCAACTTTTTGGGTGAGGATTGCCCCCACTTATAAACACATGTTCAGGCCATAGATTGTCCGATGTGTGACTCTTAACACCCCCTCTCACGCCCAAGATTTACGTCTGGAGCGTGGAACTGAATGGTGGGTGGCCTAATGGATCTTAAACGAGGCTCTGATCCCATCTTAAGAATGTGTGGTTGGGTCTAACTCAACCCTACAAAATCGGCTTGTAGGGTGAGGATTGTCCGATGAGCCATCCACCATTCAGTTCCATGCTTGACAACCATGATTTGAAACCTTTTCCATCTGCCATATTGCTATGAAGGATTTTAATCTTGTCATTTTGAACCACTATCCACCGTTAAGAACATCGGTCCTATCTATTTCTTTGCAGGAGTTTAGTGGTAGAGTGAAGGGAATGAAGGTGGATGCAGTTGACACAACCGGAGCTGGTGATGCATTTGTTGCTGGAATATTATCACAATTAGCTACAGATCTTTCATTACTTAACGTGAGAATTGTTTTTCTGTTCAAAGAAGTGTTCAATTTAAAAAGTTTTCATTGCATTTTACTTAAAATTTTAGCTTACTATTTCTATGAAAATCTATCTGGTTATTTTTATTCAATATAAGTTATTCTTTTCTTCTTTGTACATAACTTTCTAAACATTAAGTGGTTTAAACTTGCAGAAAGAGGAACAACTGAGAGATTCTCTCAAGTTTGCCAATGCTTGTGGTGCATTGACTGTGACTGAGAGAGGTGCAATACCAGCATTGCCCACAAAAGAAACTGTTCTGAATGCCCTGCTTGAACCTGTATTGTAATTTCACATCCCCCCATATTTATTTTTCTTTGGTGAAGTTTAGGAACTTATTGAGTTAATGCAGTAAATAAGACCAAGTGTTCTAATAATTTGGCAAATGCTTTTTTCAAGCAAAATTCTGTCCAGCAATCCAATCCATTGCTTGATAATGGAGAGTCATTCTTTATCCAACATTAGGTTATATATGTTTCTATTAGCGTGTATAGCTTATTTATTTTAGAGTGAGCAATTAATTTTCTTAGTTACAACCTTGCAGCTGGGATTTGTAGTGCTGGTCTCAAGTGTTATGTTATGTTTTAGGTCTCAAAGTGTGCCTTTATTGAAAAGAGAGGAAGGTACAAGAGGAAAAACGATTTTTCTATTTTCCACTCTGAATGATATATAAATAAATACCTTAATTTCCTTTTAGATTTTCACATTCAAAACTCAAGAGCATAAGTGGCTTTTGAAAATTTTCACACTCAAGAAGATATCCCTTTGTTTCTCAAATTTTCGTGCAAAAATGGGCCGTGGAAAGTGTGGAGCAAAGAGGCACAGAAAAATTCTGTGATAATATCCATGGAATTACAGAGCCAGCCGTTCATAGATGGGCAAAAAGAGGCGGTGTTAAGAGAATTAGCGGTTTGGAGTGATTCGTGATGCTGTTACATAGACCGAATATGCAAAGAGGAAGACACACTGTTATGGATGTTGTATATGTTCTTAAGAGACAAGGAAGAATCCTCTGACAGTTTTGGAGTTCTGCATCTTCTATTTTCTCTAATTATTATACATTGAACACTATCTAGTTTGTTATTTAACTGGGGTTTGTGGACATTGGATTTATTCTTGTGTTCATAATTAAGAATTAATAGCATTCCCTTTTTTCAACTGTTTAGACAATTTTTAATTTTATTATCAAACAAGATATCTTGGCCCTTTCTCTAGAGATTTTAATTGTTTTTGGAGTGTCAATGTCAATTTGAATAAGAAACTAGAAGAGGTGTAGGCGTGAATGTGGATGTGTAGTTCGTAATCAGCCCAAATCTTAATTAGTTCTATTAATAGAGAGATTAGTTTAGACATTAGTATGAATAAACGGGGTATTATAGAACATTTCCTTAAAACCCATTCATACTTAGAAAATAAAAAAGAGGAGAAAAGAAAGAGAAGGAAGTAGAGAGAATCTTAGGTTGAGTAATGGAAAAAGAGGTTTTAAGAGGATAAGTTTAAGAAAAGAAATAAAGATTGGAGCATCATTCACCACCATTAATTCATCTTTAATTATAATTCTCTAATTAGGTGGATTCACTTCTCCATTTTCTCTCATGTATGTATATTTTGATTTCAATTAAGAGTTCACCGAAATTAAATTTGAGTTCTTATATTAATACGAGTTTAGATTTATGTTTAAATATCAAATTTATTATGGGTGAATATTGTTATTTTTTTTTAAATTAGTCTGATTTTTCTTTATCGTAAACTTATATACAGGACCGTCTTTGAGGGTGTGCAAGACAGACTACCACACAGAGCCTAAATTTTTTTAGCGTTAAATCGTGGCTAAAAAAGGCCTCACAAAATATTTCTTATGATTTTAACACAACAAAATATTATCCATATTTATTTTTCCGTAGTCAAACCATAATAAACCTAAAAAGGGCCTTCAAAATTTTGTGACAGTCCTGTTTATATATATATATATATATATATATATATATATATATATATATATATATATATATATATATATATATATATATATATATATATATATATATATATATATATATATATATATATATATATATATATATATATATATATATATATATATATATATATATATATATATATATATATATATATATATATATATATATATATATATATATATATATATATATATACACACGTTGGTAGGTAGAATAACTGATGTTTTGATTCGTTTTGATTCGTTGATTGATCGTTGTTGTTTTGGTGATGACAGTGATATTCTGTGGAATCTTGATACTTGATTATTTGGTTGACCATGATGTTTGGTCCTTAGTGATATCTTTTCAACTGTCTTTGATGATGATGATCATTCTGAAACTATCTCATTCTCATCAGGGAGAAGATTCTAGGTTCTAGTAAAATGCAAAAGTAAAAGATAATGTAGCCAGAAACTTAAAGCTTCAAAGTTGTGAAAGCTTGATTGATTGGTTGTGTGCGTATTGTCGAGTCTTAATGACCAGAGTATTGTTAAAGTGTTAGAGTAACTCATAAATCACTAAGAAAACTCTCACACACTCACCAAATGCTTTTGAGGACCCTCTTATTTTGTTAAATTTACTAGAAAATGTTTTACGCAAGTAACTAGTTGGTTACTAGCTCAAATAATCTTTTACGAGTTTTGTTTACACTACATAATCAATGAGCACATTACAGTTAGTCGATTCTATATTTTGTAACGCCTCATAATTGATTAGTGCGATGTCATTTAAAAATCTTGCATATTTGAATCACATAATTGATTATGTAATATGCATAATCAATTATTGACATTAAAAAACCCACGAATTCTTTTCATCTTTGAACCTCATTTTCTACTATAAAAAGAGGGTGCCTAATCAATTTCATTCACACCAGATTTTGGATTTCAATAATTCTTTTCTCATTCTCAATTCTCTTTCTTTTATTCTTTCACTAAATATTTCCTTAGTGCCTTTGTGAGTGAAATACTCTTGTGAGATTTTAATTGCACTGGTGCCATTTGTTCAACAAAGTGGCATCATAGCCTAACTCTTATTAAAGACTAATTGTCTTGAGAGGAAGGAAATGACTTCATACAATTCACAAAACAAACTCTCATCCTTTAATGGAGAAAAATATGGCTCGTGGAAGAGAATATAAGAATCTTTAGTGATTGGATGGATCGTGGTATTTTGAAGATTGTGAAATAAGGTCCATTAGTTCCCACACAAAGTTAGTAGTGTTGTAGTGAACAAATATAATTAAGATGATTAGACCAAAGAGGGAAAAGAAAGGTGTAACACAATTTGAAGCTAATATTGTCATCATTACTGCTTTCGGACTTAATGATTTTTTGTGTGTTTCTCACTATAAAGCCACAAAATAAATGTGAGATATCCTATAAGTTACCCATGAAGGTACTACTAAGTTAAAGAGGTCGAGGTTCAACACATTAAACCATGAGTATAATCTCTTCAGAATTAAACTTAAAGAGAACATTTATGAAATGCAAAACTGATTCACTTATATCATGAGTCACATAAGAACTCCTGGGAAAACTTTTCAAAATAAGGGCTTGGTTGTAAAAGTCATTAGATGCCTAAACCACAGTTGACAACCAAAAGTCATTGTGATTTTTGAATCGGGAGATTTATCAACTATGGACATGGAAACCGTGTTTGGAAAATTACAGGTACAAGAGATGAAACTAAAAAGACTAGCCGATGATGAAGAAGGAGACAAGAAGAAGAAGAGTCTATCTCTCAATGATGAAGAGAATGAATCCAACTCTGATGAAGAAATAATACTAACGGTGCATAACTTCAAGAGATTCACGAAGCGTAAAATACAACAAGAAGGACAAACAAAAAACGAAGGAAAATCTTCATTCACTCCTACAAGCTTTCAATGTGGGAAGAAAATGCATATAAGACCAAAATGCCCTTGGAATCAGAAGAATAATCAAAATCAAAAAAATTTGAAGAAACCTCAGAAGGAAGAAAATAAAACTTACATTGTTTTGAATGACAATGACTTGGAATTCTCATATGAAAAAGCCAATGTATGTCTCATGGCAGATCACAAAGATAACGAGGTAACTTTCCATTTTTCTTATCATGACTTATTTCGTATTTGCAAGAAGTTAAATAAAGAAACAAGTAAGTTGAAACAAATTATATCCAATTCTAAATGAAATTTTTCCTTCCTTGAAATTAAAAATAAAAAATTTATGAAAAAAGTGAAAACTCTTAGAGAAAGACAAAGTGTTTCAGCTCAAGTCTCTTCCTCTTCTCACAAAGCATTGGTTGAATTTGACAAATGAAATCAATGTGACATTTTGAAAAGTGAAAATAAATATTTAGAAAACACGCTTGAAATCACAATAGGAAGAAACAACTTGAATCTCCTTCTTGGAAATCAAAGAGCATAATACAATATAGTCGGCTTAGGGTATAAATATGCTAACAATGTTAAGAAGTATGATACAGTTTACCATAATCAAACAACCCCTAAATGAAAAATCCTTAAATGCAACTATTGTAAATAGAAATGGCCATGTTGCTCATTTATGCTTTATCAAGAAAAGTCATGAAGTTAAAGATGACAATCCCCCTCATATTTTTATAGAAAACATGATGAACGCAAAATGAAAAACATGTCTATTGCATATTTATGCAAATATGATCCTTATGAAAAATCCAATGGAAACACCTGTAAAACTAACATTAAAATATCCAAAATGATTTGGGTACCTAAAGTTAAGATTTGAACTTCTTTTTTTAAGGAGTAATTTATAGTATCAAACACAAAGTGGCATCTCGATAGTGACTGTTCAAATCACCTAGTCGAAGACAAAACTTTGTTCTCCTTTTTCTCTCCAAGGAAAGGAATTTTTTCTCCTATGGTAATAAAAAACAAATGGAGAATCATTTGTATTAGTACCATTGGTAAGTTCCCTAGACCAACAATTCATGTGGTTCTTTTAGTTGACGACTTAACACATAATTTTCTAAGTATTAGCCAATTGTACCACAAAGGTAACATTGTAATTTTTTATTCTTCTAGATGCATGGTTATCAAATCCAAATTTGATCAAACCATTCTCACCAACTTTAGAAGTGGAAACACATACATCTTGAATCTAAATAAGATTCCTTTAAATGATGTTTCTTAGTAACAATGATGAATTTTGGCTATTGCATAGGAGAATAGCCCATGTCCATATGGATCACTTAAACATGTGCTTTGAGAAACTTCAATTATTTGATGTGTGTCAAAAAAAGGAAA